AATCAGGCTATCTCCTCCGGTGTAGCTGAGGCTTCGTGGGCAGTGCCATCTAAACCTCCTACTGCTGCAGAAGTTCGTTCTTGCATCCAAACCCTGAAGAAAGGAAAAACAGCAGGATCATACGGGCTTCCTCCCACTCTTTTCAAGATGGAGGCGATGACCTCGTTGACGCCATTACTAATATAATGCGTGACATCTGGTCACACGAGCGCATTCCATCATCCTGGAGCGAATCACTGATCGTTCCAATTTTTAAGAAGGGATCTCGCAACGACTGCGCATACCACCGTAGAATAAGTTTGATCCCAGTCATCACCAAGTTACTAGCCTCTATCACTCTTCGGTGTCTGACACCGTTTACGGAGACAAACATCCGCGAACAACAAGCAGGATTTCGACCAGATTTCGGTTGTATCGATCAAATCTTCACTTTGCGTTAAGCCCTCGAGCTACGCCATACGCACCGTCGGACAACGGTTGTCGTGTCCCTTGACTTAAAAGGAGCCTTCGACTCAGCTGACCGCAAATTCCTTGTGGGTTCACTCCTTCGCAAAGGAATGCCGCAGATGTGAACATACTGAGTTCACTCTATTCGCATACTTATGGTAGCGTAAGGGTCTGAGCTGAGTAGGTCGTTCATAACTAGCAGCGGTGTACGTCAAGGGTGCCCTATTTCGCTATTCCTGTTCAATTTCGTCATAGACAAAATATTGGAGAACATACTAAGTGGTCTCCCAATGCAGATATTGACTGTGAAGCTAGAGAAAAGCCGTGCAAAGGTATTCATCATCTAGAAGTATTGGACTGTTGATGGTTACGTAGTTTGGCGCTGGCTGGCTGGAAAGAACTATTATGTGGTAAGCCGTCGCGTATTGGGCAATGATTCGGTGGGAAATTTGTAATCACTGAGTTCAGATCAATAGGCTTCGTTCGTTAGGACGCGTGTTGCTCATGCCCAGCTATCATCTACCGCAATGAGCTTAATTTATAAATACGGTTCCGGGTTGGAGGAAAGCACTTAAAGGTCGACAGATGACGTGGAAACAAGGCATGAAGAAGTTAAAAAAGCCATTAGGTAGAGTAGGTGTATCCCGTCTTCCAGGTTTGGGTACGTAAGACTGTAGCTACTTAGTTGGCGACACTGAAGGACATGGCAACTGACAGACAGAAATTGCGTTTTGGCTGTCATTCCTTATTACGGTAGAATGTTCAAAGATGCTTAAAAAGGTATCTGTGCACTGTTGGGTTGTACACTGTGGTAACCATAAGGGACTACTTCTTTTGGCTTCCTCCAATTAGGCCCAAACTCTATAGGGATAGATATATCCATCTTGTACTTGCTTTCTTTGTGCACATCACGAACCTGGAAGCGATCAGCGAAGTTTGCGTCCCTGTATCTAGCTGTACGATAATGGTGGTGAGGGGGACCACTGAGTGATATTGAAGCTGTTTATATGTGCATACAGTAAAGTTTATACTACTGCTGCTACAGAAGGGTGGTACCGAGTGACTAGTGTAACCATGTGATTCACATTTGTGAATTGGACCACTGAAAACTGTCTTAATTAGCAGATACAATATGTCAACATAACGGAAAGTTACTTGACAAAATATAGATAAAGAGCTAGTTCATAATGTAATTACATGTACGCCTCATCCTCCCATCTATTCTTGACGGTTTCCTCCTCATTTAATTACAGAACAAACCTTATTAATTACCCTGCTAACAGATAGTAGCGATATTTCGCTACGAAATCACTACTTGCGTAGCGATTTGGTTTCACGGTGATTTATGGTAATTATGCCCCGGAAAAGCTATTATATTTATATATTATTAATAAGCTATCTTTTTGTTGAAATCTTATGGTATACTTTGTTCGCATTTTTGAAAGTTCGTTGTACAGTAGACACCCGTCCATTCGGCGCTCATTCGAATTTCGCTATGCGACGGCCTTTTCTTCCAAGAGTTAAACTGCCCCGTGGGACAACTAGGCAGAGTATGTACGCGCGATTAAATGCGCATCGTTTGCGGGAATGCCCTACTTTACATCGTGAAGACCAAGTAATGTCAAATTCTGTTGGACAGACGGAGGAAAATTGTGAATTCCGTAAATAAATACATATTCTCTCATGATTTTCAAAATTATCGATACGGACTCAGTTGCGAACCTCATTCTGGAAGATGTTCTAAGCTCATCCGCTCACGTAATTGGTAATTTGCCCTTATTCTTATATCACTGGTTTTGGTATGAAGAACGTGAAACCCGATCCATTTGTACTGAAACCCATCGGATTCTTTCGAACACTGAGGCTGACTCAGGTAACTCATAATCTTCGTTTAAGGCATATTTCTCCGTAGTAACTGAATTGAGGGAAGCACCTGTTCCAGTAATGCTGGATCTCTGCCGCCGTCTAGCTTAAGAGACGAAAACGTCTGCAAGTTCCGCCAATGTCACGCTGCGGATAATGCGAGTACAGTTTCCAGAACTTCCGAAGGATAGTCGGACACTACTTCAGACTCCGCGGTTAACGAAATCCATTAGTGTCTGGTGGTCACTACGTACATATTGGTTTATCGGAATCAATGGATAGAGTCTTGATGGATCATGCTGTGCATGAATCCATGATAGTGATTGCAGCTAGCCATCGACGGGCCAAGTTTGTTTCGCAGTTTACGATTGCAATATAAATTGTTCACATAATCTTCAATTCTTCATAGATCACCTCTCGCTACTTTACAGCCGAGACAGGTGCCATCGACAAGTATGAAAGAAATAACTGAATCCGAGTAACACATGCAGCTCTTCTTTCAGTGATGTTATCAGTCCCAGTAGGTGGACTGCACCGTCAAGGTAAGGCACAAAACACAGATGGCCAACCGTTTTAGTTCACGAACAGACATCATTGATGCTGATCTGGATGGAACTCAATGATTCAGAGTACTTTCCACTTCCGTATGCGGGCAACTGAAGTGGAACGGCATACATGACCGGGCCCCATTATCAACATCTACGGAGACGAATCGCATCCTTGGTAAGTTAATAAATTTCACGAGAACTGTTTATTATATGCACGATTAAAAACCTTAAACGTCATATATATATATATATATATATATATATATATTTCAGATGCTGTAGTCCAGCTTCAGTATCCGGGGTTTTCTCGTGAGGATGCAAGCCGAATTATGAAACGGTTTTTTCAAAGAAACCAATGAACATGATTCATGATGACCGTCATAGCTATTTTTGTTTTTTTATCATGACATTAATTATG